TAATCAACGTGATGACAATTTTGTGAACAAAATCATCTTTTCTGATGAAGCTCATTTTTATATCAATGGCTATGTAAACAAACAAAACTGCCGCATTTGGGGAACTGAAAATCTTCATGCTATTCACCGGAAAGAAATGCATCCAAAAAAGGTAACTGTTTGGTGTGGATTGTGTGTTGGCGGCGTGATTGGCCCTTACTTTTTTGAAAATGACCATGGCGATGCAGTTACAGTCAATGGAGAACGTTATCGGGAGATGATAAGCGATTATTTTTGGCAGCAAAGAATATATATTATATTTGGCAGTTAGAAGAATTGGTTGTCAATAACGAGTTGTACGACTTGTGGTTTCAACAAGATGGAGCCACTTAACATACAGCACAAGAAACAGTGCAGTTGTTGCACACAAAGTTTCCCGGCCGTCTAATCTCTCGTTTCGGTGATCAGCATTGGCCAGCAAGATCATGTGACCTCACACCAATGGACTATTTCCTTCGGGGATATTTGAAGCAGAAGGTTTTCGCAAACACGCCCAACTCGATTCTGGAGCTGAAGGTCGAGATTCGCAGAGTAATCCATCAAATTCCACAACAAATGATCGAGAAAGTGATGGAAAATTTCATCAAAAGGGCTGACGTCTGCAGGGATTCACATGGCGGTCATTTGACGGTATATTATTTTTCATGTGTAATGTCAATCTTTAATAAATGTGTATAAATAAAAAAATACCTTGTAAGTAAACTACAATACATATTATTTATTTTTTAATTGTAACCTCTAACTGGATCACCCTTTATAATAGTCTATTGTGTATAAAAATAAACAAATATGGTTAGATGTGTCTGTCTTTAAGTCATAGGTCTATCTTGTATTAGTTTTTTTTCTTTTTAGGTTATTTCTTTACTATGTTGAGTGTCAGTTTTGATTTATATAAGAAGGAGAAACGGCTAACTTCGCTTAACTGTTTAACAGCTCCATTTGTCTCACCATGTAGAGTTCACTACCTGCAATGCCGCCATGATTTCACCTACGTACCCGGCCTAAACCCCCTGACTCACCTTCACCATTATCACAAAATATGCAAATATGACCATGAAAAACAGTGGTGGATAAACGGCGAATTTCAGTTTCAATTTTTTATGGAGACCCTTAATATTTTGTCTACATTTACTTTTAAGTGTGTCTAAAAATGAGAATTTAGTAATAACTAGTGGCTTGTAGGGGCAATAGCCCCTATATTCTAGTAATTATTTGGTACAAATTATTAGTCCCATGGGTTACCCTACCTTGAATTAGGCCTATCATTTAACTTTTTTATTATGATATGTATAATAGTTATTACATACCTGCATAATGCGTTTTGATGTCTGCTCTGTTTAAAATACAAATTCCAAAGGACATGCGGTGTGTTTAGGCCTATAATATAAACTTTCAAATCATAATAAAACTAAGGAACATTTTCCAATAACAATCTTCATGACTATTAATTAAATCTATATAGATTTCTTTAAATATAGACAAATTCACTTAGAAAAACACATAGAGATAATGTCATCATCCAAATTTTAAAATGCTAATTCTATAACAAAATCTCTCTGAAACAACATTTGTTGTATGGTATCCATTTTGGTTGATTCCTTGTTCTTTAAATTCGGTTATAGTATTATTTTAACATCGTCTGGCCTCTTTACACATCTAAAAGCAACATAAAGTTGACCATGGATAAACACTGGGATTTTCAAATAAATGCCAACTTTTGTGAAGGTTCGCCACAATTTCACCAAATCAAATTGCGCAATTCACCACAATAACTTCATGTTCATCCGATGCTCATTTATTCTTCTTCCATTAATATCGTGCCAAATCTGGTGCCTGTAGTTCTCATTTCGAGGAACAATATACCCCTGAGTGGTAGTCTTCCGACATTATACATCATTACTGCGCAAGCCATTGTAAAGTATGTAAGTGAGTTTAAAAGTATCAAATTATTTGTTCAAAAGATTTTATCTAATTTTCACTTTGTGTTTGTTTACTACTTCACTAACAATTTTACAATAACAAAATAATGCACATTCAGGTGTGGTTATATTTTTTTCAATTTATATTATCACAGCTGTGATTGCACTAAATAAAAAGACATCAAATTAGATTTCCATGATATTTAAATGTGAATTGTTTTATTTCCTAACAACCTTTTGGTGCATAATTAAGAAAAATGAATAATTTTCCCCAAAATTTCATGCCTAGACCTTTAAAATGAGACCTCTCCCAGCTTTCTACGGCCTCCCGTTTGCTCACAATTTCATTGTAAAATTTTGTGCTTACGGAATTAGATATATAGATGAATTGTTTAACAGCTTATATTTACCCATATTAGAGATGTGCGAGCACAGGTTTTTCAGGTCGAGTCGAGTTCGAGTCGAGTAATTGGCAAAAGATTCGAGTCTCGAGTTCGAGTCGAGTTTAAACCCAAAAGATCGAAGAATGTGTAAGTTTAAGTAACTCCTTAGGCCTAGAGCATGTAACTGTTAAAACAACCTTGTTACAAGCTGAAATATGATTATAAATAAATAAATTATTAATATTTGTGCAGTAACATATCAATATAATGCATAGAAAATAATTTTAAAACAACAACAATAGAGCTCATAAATGAACTTCTACTTCTGTAAAAAAAGGTAAGTGAGCATACATTTTTTTATCCAAAAATAAAATACAATAATCCCTATTGATAAGTAATATTGCATAATACTTGGCTAAAATTACTTAATACTTGCATCTATTAGTTATTAAGGTTGCAATTACAATAGCCTAATAAGTTTAATAAAGAGATTTATTCTAAAACTTGAAATGTTATTTCCTACCTTTTCACCTTTAGTTTTGTAAGTTTATTACCATTATTCTTTTAGTTGGTGTGGTTTTTGTAACAGTAGGCCTACAAAATTTCCAATGGTTTGACAGTGGGTAAAGTAAAAATAAATTTTGAAATAAAGAAAATTAATTTTTTTAATCTTGTATGTTAATTGTAAACAAACATTCTGTCAAAATACTCAAAATATGTTAAAAATGAAGTACAAATAGGCCTACAAGTAGTCTACCTTACTGATAAACAAAACAATTGTAGATTGAAAATTGTACTGAATAATGTAATAGGCTCATACAATAGTAGTTATAGAAATCAAATGAAACCTAGACTTAGGCCTAACTCACTATAATCAATTGTATTCCATGCACATTAACCACATTAATGCAAGTTGTCATGAAGGAAAACAAACTATGTAATCTAGAAGGCCAAGTGCTAGCACTTAATTATTTTGAGATATTTGTAAGCTTTTTTTAGGAGTGCTACTATTGTCCTCATGAATGATTTCATACTTATTTATGAGTTATCTAATGTTTTACAAGTTTACAGAATAATTATTTTCAACCACGGTAGCATCAATTTATAATTATCAACTTCTGTTAAGAAGGCCAATGACCCAAAACATCATGATTGTGCAATGTTGTATTTTGACATAAAAATGTAAATCATGGTATTAACTCTAATTTGAATATTTCTCCTGGTCCCTTGCAGATTGTATTTTCAATGCTAAATAATTAATTGTGGTCAATTCAAATTATATTTTTGATGATTCAAATCTCCTATACAAAAAGACAAAAGTCAAACCAGACAAGGAAAAAACCTGCTATTGTAATCCCCCTGCCCCTACCCAGCCATTTCGGAAGTGGTGAAAGTCTAGTCTGGTCTAAATATAGCTCCAAGGTCTTACCCTCCCCTTCCCCCCAACCCCCTACACCATTCACTGTTGCCGACTTGCCGGCTGCCGGGCTGCCGGGCTGCCGGCTCAGTTCGAGGTCATTGCACAACCCCTCCCTCCTTCTATTGTTTTGCCTTTTGTAGTGTTTCTATTCTTTTTAAAACTTAACTGACTTTTTTAAACATAGATTTATTGCTTGTAACAGTTCAGTAGTGGAATTTTCTATTGTGAAACAGTACTTTAAAACAAAATCACTACCGATCATGTCATTCAGTGTCAAGTCCAGATTATGCCATTGCCAGTCAGTCCGGCGACTGCTTTGAGTTGACCTATTCTGTTGTGACAGCTATAAAAATAGGTTAGGACAACTACCTCTTGCTTATTTCTACACTGTAGAAATATTTGTATTACTGTAGAATCTATAGTAATACAAATTATAAAGCATTTTATGTAAACACAACTTACATTTTAACAAATATTGATTTTTTACAATTTTAAACCAAACTCTACTCGAATCTGCCGAGTTCAAAGATAAGCTCGAGTTTCAAGGCCGTACTCGACTCGAACTCGTAATCTCGAGTACTCGCACATCTCTAACCCATATACCATACTGAGTATCCATTTAATATTTTCTCCTCTTACAATATGAAGAGTGCCGTCCTTGAGTAGAGCAGCCGCTCCAGACCTCGCGAGCTGAGGAAGATTTCACACTTATAGGCCTTACTCTCGCTTTAAATAAGTAAAGATTTTGGTTGAAATGAATGAAAATAACATAATATAATGTAGCAACCAAAAGTGCAGATACAAAATTTTTTTCGATAGTGGTGCTGGGGTGACGCAACCTGAGGTGATCGAGTCAGCCTTGCCCTTAGGCCTTAAGAATAAACTTCAGAGTGGTTTTCTTAGGCTATTTTACAAATCTTATCAGTTTTTGTTTTTAAACCAATAAGAAAATAACAACTCAAAATTATACCAACCCGAAATGGGAGTTTTTTACTTGAACCCCGTTTTAAATGAAAGAGATGAAACTTTTTATTTGTCAAAGTGCTTAAAAAGACGACTTTGCAAGTATAATTTTGTAAAAATTTCCAGGGCCTATTAATATAATTTGATCTTGATAGTTACCCTAAGAAAAAACTAAGTTCTCTCTTCTCTTGAATGAACGGGCTCATACTAGAAGTTTAGTGTAGTTTTAACAGCTTATGCATGAGTTTACCTGACACCTTAAATATTTCTTTGTAGAGTCCAGAATCAAAAACACCAAAATGCTTCCAAAGGTTAAAATCTGGCAAGAGTTGTGACAATATTGAAGCCGAACAGTCATCCTCGCCTCTAAATGAAAGGATTGTAGAAGACATTGATGTACCGAAGCCTAAAGTTGAACTAGAAGACAAGCCAGATGTTTCCATCCTCAATTCTCCTGTTCCTATTCCTGAAAAGGAAAACAGTCCGTTTTTCACCCCTTGTAACCCTAGTTTGATGAAGCACCGAAAGTTGTCTGTGAGTAAAGCACCCCTCACCCCTCCAATGACTAACCGTTACTCTGCTCTACTAACTAGCACGCCTGCCTGTAACAATTGTCTTCTCTCTCCCTCCCCTAATGACATGAGTCCTATCACTCTCTCAACTCAGCGGATGTCAAAAGCCATGCAGGTAAATCTCACAAGACCTAGTAGAGCTGCTACCCACAACTTTTATAGAATCAGAAATTACCCTCTTGTTAATCTGGACTCTAGTAGGGTAAGGAGGAAACTTCTACATTTGTCTTTTAGTTGCGACGCTTCAGTAGCATTATGTTTAGAAGAGTTTGTATTAGCCTTTAGTCATTAGGCCTACCTTTCAATTACAAACAGAAATTAAATGACCTGTAGATTTTAAAAAACTTCCAAATTTACATTTTATTGTCAATTTTTTGTTAGATTTTTGAGTTATTAGTGTACTGTATTGTTAGATTTTATTCAGTAGTTATAATTGAAACTTGAAAGTATTCCTAAAAGTAGCTGAACTCTATAAAACACATAAATTGTATAATGACAAACTATTTTGATTTTGAAAAATTACATTTTATTACAAGTTTTAATAGCATGAAAATGTTTGGTTGTGTTTTATAGTTAAAGAAACTATTAGTATATTTTGCGGTTCTGTTTATTTTGTCTAGGAGACAAATGCTTCAACAGCATATAAATTTGTAAAAAACTATTGATAACAACATTGTGCCTATCACTTATTGACAAAATCACATTTGTTGGTGACCAGAAGTTACAGAAATAAGAAAATACCAACCAATCTTTACTACCTGTAATATAACGCAGGTGCACATGGAACCAAAACCAACTTTTTAAAACAATATCCCTCATTTTAATCCGCTGAACCCAAACTATAATTTAAAATATTTAGTCACGATTTTAGAACCATAATGGATTTCCCCTCCCCTTTCCACATTTGTATATTAACCACAGTTCTACCTATCCTCTACTTAATCTCTTATTGTATTGCATTTTAAATTCCATTCTTATTGTATTCATTTTAAATTGTTTATGCATGTGTTTATAAGCTTTGCATCCTATGGCATGAATTTTAAAGTTTTATGTACCTACTTAAACAGGGTGTCCACCGACTGGGAAAACCAGGAATTAGGCGTGATTTTTTTTCAACCGTGATTGCGCATGATGACGATGACGATTCCCTGATCACAGGAGATGACGAAGACGTTTCCGTGACCGCAGGAGACCATGATGATGTCCAAACGGCCGTGGGATATGTTAGTGATTTTGCCGAGATCGCGCATGCGGACGATAATGTTTCCGTGACTGCTGAAAACGATGATGATATCCAAAAATTATTGCTTGATGAAGATGACCGAGGGAAATTATTAGACTTAAGCTACAATCGAGGAAGATGATGATAAATTTTCTGTGAGTGTGGGAGACAATGATAATGTTTCCATAACCGCTGAACAATATCAGGATTTTGTCACGACCACGGAAGACAGTGGTGATGTTTCCGTTACTGAGGGAGATATTCGGGATTTTGCATTTATTGCGGAAAATTATGATGGTGTCTCTACAACAGTGGTAGATTCGAGTTTGGCTTGACCAAAAAATATCAAAAAGGTACACTTCTAGAAAGTTTTATATTTATATTTTTTGTAATATCTTAATTTACCTTTAACGTGGTATTTATTTAATGTGTTTAGAAGGGTTTAAAACTTAATTTGGCTATGTAAAATTTTTGTTATTTCTGCATTAATTAAATTATGTCTGTAGGCCACTTGAAAAAAAAAAAACACATAACTCAAAAAAATTACATAGTATATGAAAGTACATAAAGATAGGTGTTGGTGTAGTACATCCTTACAGAAAATTTGGAAAAAATTAAAATTACAGTATCAGTATTAAGAATCAATTTTTCAGGTGTCTGCACAGAGATTTGATAAATTTTACTATCGACATATCACTATTTTTAAGAATTTGTTGATAAATTGCAGGTTTAAGAATTAATTTTTACTTTTCAGATTATTTAATCAGTAATATATACAAATTTCATACTTGTTTCAGTCAATATTACAGTAATCATAAATTTTGTTTCTCTAACTGAGAATGCTTTTTCCGATAAATAACATAGTTAACTATGTTAGCACCAAAACAGCATTGCGGGAGTTTGCGCAAAAACGTGTTGGAAAGTTAAATATGAAAAGTACGACCTGAACTTCCTGGAATTACTCATGCATTTTTTGTGGTTGGCCTGGTGGACGGACACCCTGTTAAACATTAGTTTATATATAGATTTAAGTAGTTGGCAGACCACAGATGTATGGTCCCATTCCAATTTAAATTTAATAGAAATTAAATTTCCACTGAATTTTATTCAAAATTTTAAAATTTAAAATAAAATGTACAAGTTATAATTTATTGAGAAATGCATACTGGTATTCGGTTTATTACATTTTAGCCTCCTGATCACTATTTTAAAACTATAAATTTGTTTTTAAATTAATTTACTGATTTTAAAGCAAAATGGTAAAATGATTTTATAATTTACGTATAATTTATAAAACTGGTTATGATAACATGATAAGGGAGCATACGAGTAATAGTTTATAATACTGTTTTCACAGTATAGATAACTTTTTTGGCTTGACCAAAACCTCAGTGGTCATAAGATAAACTACTGTAATAATCAGTACAAGTTTAAGCCTCACTGGATGCATCAACAAGAAAGAATACATTGTGATTGTGTTTAACATATGATCAATAATCTTAAAAAGTAAGGGTAATTGAAATTTTTAAACCAATCTGTAAAACATTTAAACTTGTTAACCTTAAGATAATAGGCCCAATGAAAGGGAATTGTCAGTAGTCACTGTACAGTTATTGTACTAAGGATAATTTCATTTTGCAGGAGACAATGATGACTCCTCGTAGTCGCAAGCCTGTGGTTGCTGTCTCCGCCTCAAACATCTGTCACTTGGCCAACCTCACCTGGGGACTCAAGGATGACCCTTCCTGGGACCAGGTACACCATAGTACAAGAGTATCTTTGTAGACATCAAATCTAATACTCTACGTTTGTCTAATTTAATGGCTAGCGTCAAATGAATCCCATACTTTAAATTGGCTTTTGCAAGAAAAAAGTTAGCCTTATTTTAACAGTCAGGGTGTCCACATTCTGGAAAGTCAGGGATAGCCATGGACAAAAATTTTGGTCATTGAAAGTCATGGAAATAGGCAAGAAGTCATGGAAAATCATGGAAAATCCGAATGATGGATGGATTTCAGGGGACCATTCAATGCTCTAGTTAGCCGTAACCCCGGGACGGCCCTGGGAATAGTACTTTTGAACTAGGAGATTGTGGGACTGCAATTAAGCCAACCGCCATTGATTTGGTTGATTCTTCTAGTGGTACATAACAACATTTTACAGCGTCTCGATTTTCTAGTAGAGTTGCCGTGCCTGTGCTACTTCTATTTGGAAGTTTTTAGTCTAAGACTTTAGTTTTGTAAAGAGAAAGAGCGGTTCCCTGATTCTGTTTATCATACTTGAAAACAATAAATAAGTGAGAGCGCATGATCATTTTGGGCCGGCATGAACTACGCCGGTTGCCTGATTCAGAATTTAAACGAACGTTCAACAAAACATTGACCATGGCAACATCCTTAAAAAAGAGTTTTTATGTGGAATCTGTATCAATAATTGTGAGTAATATTTCAGAACTGGTATCAAATCAAGAAATTCTGTTATCGGCCTCAGCCTATCCCCATGTACCTACAATGAGTACAATGGATTAATATTCGACTAGGATGTAATTCAAGTGATGGCCTTGAGTTTTGAGACAGAGTGGAGCTATGCGTGGATCGACACTGCTGCTACACGTTATTATAGAGCTGGCGGCAAGTCTGATTCTGACAGCGGACCCGAGATTCGATTCTCGAAACTTGTTAATCGAATCTCAAATCCGAATCTTTTCTTAGAATTCGGTGGAATCGAGATTCAGATTCGACACATCCCTAATCTATTGTATGTTGTAGGATGACAGTGATACGGGAGAGTCACTGGCTGGAGCCTTCAAGGAGTATCTGTCCAGTCGCAGTGTGTTGACAGCCAGTCCTGTGGACCTAAGCTTCTCTAGCAGAACTGGAGATTACGACCCTTCCTCTGAGGGGAGACTTGAAGACTTATCACATGATGAAATCCCTCACTCCCCGCTCAGCGAATCTCTGCTCTACGTTCTCGATGGAAACCTTCCTAATGAGTCATCGGATTCCTCCGGTTATATTGATGGACGACACAGGAAACGTGGAGCGGAGGTGAGCGGATTCATACCAAACAAACGCTTCGGTCCTGAAATGTCTGGAGAAAGCAGTGGACTAGGGACAGAGAACTCCAAAGAGACTCCACATGAAACTAGTTTATAGCAGTTACATATATAAAGTCTTGTATTTGTGGAAACTTATAGAATACACAGAGTAATCCCAAAGGTAATTTTAAGCAATTAACTACTGTCTCTGACTTTTGTAAATAGTTATGTGCCATAAAGTATTATGGGTTATTTAATAATGTATATTATAGGAAATTTCAATTATTGAATAAAACATGTATAACAGATGTGTCATTATATCTTATAGTTTGAGGTATAGTATTACTAAACTATGTAAATATGTTACATAATATCTCAAGGAGTATTATAACTGTTGCTTTAAAACATTTTACAATGACATTACAGTTTGACAATAAATTTTAACTGTGGTTAATGTGTTTGATGTTACCCTTAGTGAATTAATATTACATTAGCTATGTCCACACTCGTGCGCTTTTGTGTGCGCCAAGCGCATGCCTCTTAACGCATGCCTTGATGCAGATGGACGCAAGTGACGCTTGCCTCAAGGCATGCACGAAATGAGTCGGAAGGGTCTCCATTCCATAGCGCACAGCGTAGCGCAAGACAATCCACCAGCCTTGGATTTCTGTGCGTTTCAACTTGCAACTGCTTTGCTTTACATTTTTGACAAGTCGTCCGTGTTGCAGTTGTGAAACATATTGAATAACTAAGAAACCTCAGAATTCATAGAAGATTGTTGCTCTTATTTATGTTAGCGGGACATATGGAGTAATAAAAAAATTAAAATAAATTGAATAAATTAAGATTACATTAAGAGAATTAATAAACTAAAATAAAATTGAGTGTGGACAGCTAAAAGGCATGCCTCAAGGCGCATGCGATATTGTTTGCGTTGATGCATGTTGAATTGAATATTGAATTTAAAGCTGAAAGGCACATTGAAATTGAAAGCGCAGGAGTGTGGACATAGCTATTCCCTATGTTTCAATTTATTTCAAAAAGTGTTATAAACATTGTTACTTACTATCTATCAGCTTATTCCTCTCTCAGCTAAACAGTTTGTCTAGTCTTGTGCTATCTGTATTTATGTATCACCAGTGATTAAATATTGAATCTATACTTAAAACATTAGGGGGTTTCTCTGTAAAATCAATTTTTTTTTGTCGTCCTACAAAGCAAATTTTTACAATAATTGAGGCATGATTAAAGCTTAGTTATGATCCAGCAGAGGGACGAATGGTATCAAAAAAGGTTATTATAAGGTTTTGTCCCCTGCGTTTTATTTATTTCTAGAGTTTGCTTTGAAAGATCCAGTGCTGCTGACCAAATTTCTTTATAACGCTTAAATGTGAACTGTCATTTAACAGCTGACCCTTCAGGATAATGTTTAATCACAGTAAGATTGAAAACAAGAAACAGTTGAAAATTGAATTTGATAAGGCTACTTTTTATTAGTTGTTCGATGTAAATAATAAATGTTATCTGATTGAGGTCTAGGTATATCCTTCTTTCTAATGTAGATCTAAAGTATTAAAGTAAGCAAATTGTATTCATTCATTATAAATTAGTCCATATCCAAAAGGGATTTTAGCATCCCTTCAGATGGTTTCTTTTGCTTTGCCAGACGAATTGAAAATATGTTCAATGAAAATATGAGGTTCATGGTGTTTGGAAAGAACGTGGTATGAATAAACAAAGTGTTTGTTAACGTTTTTAAAACAAAAGAGTTGTACCCAAATATCTCTGATGAAGCGGTGTTACTACTGAAACAAGTTAGGATAGAACCTATGGGTGTTGAAAATGTCTGGAACCAACATTATATCTGGTAGGTGGTTAAAGAAAAACAACTGATATTTTGTGTACGGATATACTATGGTTTTACCTATCTTTTGGTGCCTTATGAAATTTTTTACCACTTATAGGGAACGTCCTGTGGAGGATGCAGTAAAAAGTTTTAATGGAAGCCTATGGTAAATGATACATCATTTTAAAGGCCATTTTTTCTGAGTAAGGAGCCACAAGTTTCATCTCAAAAGGACCACCCTAGCAAAAATGGCGACTCCTTGAAATTTAAAAACCCACTTACAGGGAACGTCCTATGGAGGATGCATTAAAAAGTTTTAATGGAAGCCTATGGTAAATAATACATCATTTTAAAGGCCATTTTTTTCTGAGTAAGGAGCCACAAGTTTCATCTCAAAAGGACCACCCTAGCGAAAATGGCGACTGTTTGAAGTTTTTGAAAATAATTGAAAAGCTTAATTGGTATTTCTGTTAAAAATAAGTTAAAACAACACAAACAATTTAGTTAAATGTTTTTTTTTTTCAGTAAGTGTTTATTAAATGTACAGCAAGACAATTATGTTTTATAACTGTATTATTTGTTTGTAAATGGATTACATTAGGTTGTAGAATGAGAATAACAGGTCAAAGTTCTAATAGCAGCCGCTTTCTCTTAACAAAAATGTTTGCTTGTTTTGGGAAGTTGGGCTTTCCAAGGTCGTTAGATAAACTTTTCAGTCTATCAATGATGAGATTCGCCTATTGGGTCTGATGATGATTGGAGTGTCCAATCGAAATCGATCACCACTTACCATCTTTTTTGTATATTTACCGTCTTGTGAGTAACAGTATAAGCGTAAATATATCTTTTAAGTGTTATAAGACGTTTCTCTTATTTACTTTCCGTAATAATGTATTCAATACTTTAATCAGTAACTTATACAGGGTGGTAAAAAGTCCCAGGACAGTTAAATATTTCAAAAAATAATGTAGATAGAGCTACAATACTTGGTACAAAGTTACAGGGCATAAAATTATATTTTAACACATATTTAGTGATCCAATAACTCTTCAGGGGGACGGCCCACAAGGAGTCAGAAGAAAATCTTAAATGAAAGCATAGGTCAATATGCACATCAAATTAAAGGTCTTTTTTAGTAGAATACAATGCCTCAAACCGCACTTCAAAAGGTTGATCTTGCGCAAAATGGCAGATGTTCAAAGATTTCTTGAATCCGCCATTTTGAATCTTTGAACGACTGCCATTTTTTACTCAGGCATTCTTTTGAGCTTGAATTTACGGCATCGTAATCTACTAGTGAAGACCTTTAATTTGATGTGTGTATATCGACCTATACTTACGTTAACAATTTTCTTCCGATTCCTAGGGCTGTGCCCCCTGAGGAGTAAGCGTATAATAGCAATGAACACTGTTTTACTGGTAAATCGACACGTACTAAATTCATAGATATGGGTAAAAAGACTTGTAATTAACTAGTCTTATTGAGCGTTTTCATATACTTCCTGAGTTAGTACTAGAAAACGGATAGACTGATTTTTATTACATTAGTCAGTTTACTTCACAGTATATCTTTCATGTAACCGTTGTTAAAAAACACAATTCTATAACAAGTGAAATATTTGTATGAATGAGAACTAGTTTAAAATTGGTTGAAAATAGACTAGTCGCTACGAAATAGAGGCAGAAACCTAGCCCAGCTGTCCCTAGTCATTGATCTATGTTAGTTGATCGGTTCTGACCAAAGAATAAACCAACCTTACAGGTAGTTAATAACAAAGATACTTAAGATCACTCTATCATTAGATATGAATACTGATATGGTTAACATGGGAATTTTCAGAACCACTGGGGCGGAGCCCGAGAAGATCTTTGAGATAAGAATATGTCTAGTTAATCGAGAGCGTAAGCTATCATCATACCAAATTTCATTTCATTCTTTGACGACGTGACATACCAGGGGTTTTATGAAACATTCGTAGTTTACGCAAAGCGTCCAAAAACTGCAGATGTGTACGAGCATCCCGACGGCGTTCATTTCATCACTGCCCGTCATGACTGTTCCTTGCCGTGGTTATGCCGACCTCCTGTCCCGTGGCGGACCAAACTGTCGCACTTTTCAAGAGGTCGCGCGGCATCTCGGCTTGGTGCAAGATGAACAGGAATACCACTACGCGCTGTTGCGAGGCCGCCACTTTCATGACTGGCCCGAGACTCCGTTCTTTCTTTGTGATACTCTGCAACATGGGAGCTCCCGCAGCCCTTCTGTGGGATGCCTTCCGTGATTCCATCTGCGAGGACCACATTGAACGTAACCCTCTCGATGTTGAACTGGCCTACAAGCTAGGTCTCATCGAGATTGATCGTAGTCTCCGTCGGCAGGGCTCTTGCGTCGCAGATCACGGCCTCCCCAATGTACATGATGACATGACGGAGTTGGGCAGAGAACTGCTCTTACACAGCGAAAATCAACAGAGAGCGTTTGTGGAGGAGTGGGTGCCAAAGCTCTCTGAAGACCAAAACCGTGTATTTGAGTACGTTACCTCCGTTCTCAATGCACCAGCCAGCGGAACGTCGTCGAAAATCATTTTTCTCGACGGTCCGGGTGGCTACAGAAAGACCAGCTCTGGGATCGCCGCGAGTAACATGCCTGGTGGGACTACAGCGCACAGCATGTTCAGGTTGCCACTCGACTTCAGTGACAGCACCGGCTTTTGGAACATCACCAACGGCTCCCAGCGAGCAGAGCTCATCAGGGCCGCAAAGCTCATTGTCTTTGATGAGGCCCCTATGGCACATAGGTTCGTTTTTGAGGTTCTCGACAGATCCCTGCGAGACCTCATGCGTTCCAGTGAGCTATTCGGTGGTAAAATATTCCTCTGTTGTGGTGACTTTCGCCAGATCGCGCCTGTCGTTGTGAACGCTCGTACTCCAACTGACATTGTTTGTGTCTCACTTCGGGCTTCCCATCTGTGGCAGCATTTCAAAATGTTTGCCCTGACAACAGCTCATCGGACTAGTAGTTCCACATCCTATTCCGAATTCCTTCTTAGGGTAGGCAACGGAACTGTCAGTTCGACCACTTTCTTGGAGGGACGGAACGAACAAAGTCTAATTCCGCTGCTCGGGATTAGACAAGTGACGTCTTTGACTGATTTGGTCGATTCCGTCTTTCCCGCGAACGTCCTACTCGACTCTGATCTGTGTTCGCGACGCGCAATCCTCTCGACTCTGATAGTGAACGTCAAGGAGATCAACGACCACATCTAGAACTCCCTTGACGGTCATCTGTACGAGCTGAGGAGCGCCGACAGGGAAACAAATATTACCTAATATATTTTAATTAATATATATGAATGTTTACTATAATTGTTCGATACTAAAAATTGTAATATACAAAATTATAACTTTCTCCTATCTACAGATGGTCCCTACAATTCCCGTGGCTGAACTGAATTTATCATACAATTTATGGCTATCTGAAATGAAAACCAATATTACTTAATACATTTTAATTAATATATATGAATGTTCACTATAATTGTTCTATACTAAAAATGTTAATATACAAAATTATTAGTTTCTACTTTATCTTAGTAATTCGTCTTCTTTTTACTGATTTCCTTGCACAAAAGACTCAATCTGGTAACGTTACTTACTAACTACTGCTAATTAGCCACTACCACTACTACTAATGGGGAAAAAATATCACAATTTGTTATTTCATATCCATTTTCACTATAACAAACCCTACTCCCCATATATTATTACTTCTCTCTTACCGCAAACATTTTTTTATACTCTCTTACCGCAAACATTTTTTTATAAGGTGTTCTTTAAGGTGGAGCTTGAAATTAACTTGCCAACCTCCTCAAATATATTTGCGAAATTAATATAACGTAATATTGACTGTTTCACTGACTGCATTGTAAAGACTAAACTCTAATCTACTAATGACGACTAACAGTATGGACATTAGATATTGGTATGGACATTAGAACCGTTTACTTCAAATTTGACAGACTTGAGAAATGCTATGAGTGTGCTAACTAGACCACTTCTAGGTGTGCTACGGACTTGAAATTTCCCCGGCTTCTTGGTGATGGCCTCTCACCCCTTCCTAAATGACGACTAACAGATAGGGGGCCTGGAGGCAGAGCCCCTGTGTTTAATAGCCTATACAGCTAATGGCAACTAAGGGACCTATTGTTTATAGTTTCCTTGGTATATACGAATTGGTCTAATTGTTAGGACAGTACTGCGGATAGTCGTTGTACTCACTCGTGCGGACGTTAATCCACACCAGGGAGTATTGCATCCACAGTGCATGCCTATAAATATCCCAATTCGTGACCTCCTAGTAGCTGGATTACAGGACGACGCCACCGTCCCAGTCATATATGAAAATTAGAACAAATGGTGTTTTTGGCCTCTGGGGACATCAAATTTAAAGAGTAAATTGGTCCCAAACCTAGGTCTTACCGTGCCACCTACGGTAATAGCTATAGGGAAATTTGTTAAAATAAATTGGCCAAATAAAAAAATAAAAAATTACAACTAGTTTAAATTTTTCTGAAAAGAATAACATGGTGATTTTAAATGTACATTTTTTTCTAATTTTCTCCCTACCCTTTTTATCCTACAAGGCTACAATATGCAAAATTATTTGCTTTTTAAAACTCTGGTTTTTATTTTCTTAATGTAAAAATTGTAAAAAAAAGTAAAAAAAAATCAAAGCCTCATAAAACCCCATTGATTCCTATGATCCAATGTTGCTGGTTCCTGAACTCATTCAAGTGTATACAGCTCTACATGTTCATGCAAAATTTCATCAAAATCAGACTAAAATTCCTTGACTTACCAAAAGACACACACACACACATACTACTATATACCGTATATAAATTTTATTTTGACAAATAGTGTTTTGGCCTATGGGGACATCAAGATGAAAAAATAACTCGGCCATGGGTCTTACCATGCCTGCTCCAATAATAGCTACTTCCCTGTCTAGGGAAATACGATAATGTTATTTTTCTACACAAACCACCTAAGGTCAAGCACTCTTACATTGTCCCCATCACAGGCTTTAAAAAAAAATTTGATACCTGATTATCGGTTAGCAGATTAATTTCATTATACCTACTTATTAAATTTCTTCTAGGAATTAACACTTTAATAAAATATTTGTCTACCAGCCAATCAAACCAATCTTGTATGAATAATTATTGTGCGTGTTTTTTTTCAAACTTAAACCTAACAAATTTACCTAAATTTAAGATAGCCTACTTCTGGCTTGAACATCCATAATAAATTTCATAATAACCTGTAAATATAGGAGATTTGAAGGCACAAATAACAGGTAAAATTGATTAGTTATGAAATTTAGATTCAAATAGTATCTTTAATATCAGATTAATGCATATTACAAAATACAGTCTTATTTTGATGACTTGATACATGCAATCAAAGATTATCCGTACACTTATTTATAAATAAATATACAAAACAAACAGTTTCTCTCAAAAAAGCAATTGAATAAAACTGAAAGGTTCTTGAACAAACTTTAAAAAGCAAACTTCCTTGAATCAATAGTCTTCATGATTGGTACTTTTTTTGCAAAAAGACTCTGACACACTAAATAAGCATCCTACTTTAATATAATTCTGAAATGAAAATATTAAACAAATAATTCTTTAATTACAATTAAAATTGAGCAACACTACCCTCTGACACTATTGGCAATGGGATTTCCTTTCTATGATGTTAAATTCAAATTAGTAGAACGAAAACAAATCTTGATATTGTTAAAAATTGGGTCTCTGGCAACAAACTCTTGCAGCAAAAACAATAGATCTCAAACAACAAATCTTAAGATAAAAATAACATAAATTTATTAGAACTTGCTTGTTAGTTTAAACGTGTTTCAAGTACTTGAAAAAACTCAATTTTAGGAAGAAAAATAAGTATGCTAACTTTTGTTCATCTGTTACCACGTATGGATGCTCAGTTAATTACCAGATATAAACGCTTGGCCATAGACTATTAGCGATTACTCCAAATTTCCCAATCCCAAACAAAATTTAGACTACATACAATCCCAGTATCCTCGTCAACTGGCCACTGATTAACCAACTCTACTTTGTCTTATTTGTGAGTAATTTATAAGTGAATGTTGCAAAAGAACCCATACAAGACAGGATGATAATGATAAATGACTACGTGTCATTGGTTCAGTTACAAGTGTCTAGGTATCAGTGAAACCAGAGATGTGGCTTCTTAATATGACTATATAATTACCAACCATACAATCAACCATACAATAAAAATAAAAATAAAATTACCATTGTGGGATGCACTAGAATGAAATTACAGTAGTTTAAAAGAAGAGTACACATTGCTTACGAAATGTTATAAACAAAATATACTAAAACATGTCATCATGGCTTAGATCAGGTATTAATCTAAGTCCTCGTTCTTTCAGAGACTTAGCCAATAACTTGTCGTGCTCTTGTTTGGCTTCTTGCTCTCGCCGCTGGGCATCTAGAATGTCATCAACAGAAACTTCTACGAGAGGCAAATTGGCCTCCTTCTCACTGTCCTAAAAGGCAACAAAATCTTAAGTTTGATACAATTAAAACATAAAATAGATAAAGATCCCAAAGATCTAATTGATGTGAGACAAAAGAAGTAAAATACTGTAATGGTATTGAACTTTCCATTTAGTTTGACAGGACACTGACAGAGCACTTCCAAAACCTCATTTAATATTTTTCTTCATGTAGGCCTACTACAATTAATTACAATATAATAATTTACTTCACTCACTCCTGTGGTAACTCAAATCCAACTTGTTTTTTGGCCTCACCAACAAGAAAAATATTCAGGTCACCATAATAACTCAAACTATAGTATTATTTAGGTAAAAAATACACTAAATTATAAAATCTATGTATACTCATAACATGAACCTAGGAAAAAATATAATTTTTTGTCCTAGGACGCTAGGCACGAGTCGGAATTGTTTTTCACATTACTTCAGGCTAAGACCTAGGGGTTACGGCATTATCACTTAGATAAACTCCATTGGTGATTTGGCGGGATTTGAACCAGGAACCGGAGTCCCGCGCTCTAACCACTAGACCAGCTCGTTCCCCAGGAAAAAATATACTTAACACAACTACAACACCAACTACTTACAATTTCACCAAGAAGAACAACATTTTCCCCTCTAATTATAAAAACTCCTCTTGGTATATCTCCATATTCTTTACCGACATGGATCCTTTCAATGGTTCTGTGAAGTACCAAGTTCGCAAATTGATCAACACTGCGTAGATAACCAATTAATGTCCTTCCATCTCTTAGGAGCACCATAAGCTTTTCTGAAAAGAAAAAGGATCTTTATGTATGTCCCAATTTATTTTACAGTTTTGGAAATTTAATAAAGCGTCTAATAATACTTTTTCAAGTGAGATACAGTTAATATTTATACTAAAATGTAGATAAACATGCATGTTTACAATTGGTCATCTGTATTAGCGAATTTCCCCTAGGGAATAAGCTATAACCGTAGTACTCATGGTAAGACCTGGACCCGGGACCGATTTACTTTTTTGTTTTGAGGTCCTTAGAGACCAAAAACACCATCCGTTCAATTTCATATATATATTTATATATGTGTCCGTTAGCGCGATAACTCAAGCAAAAATCATCCGATTTTGATGAAATTTGGTACAAGCGTGTAAACCTACGTTTATTCGAACGAGTTTGCGAACCAGCATGATCGGAATATGGGAACAGGGGTTTATGGGGCAAAAATTGGGTTTTCCCATTTTTGACCCTAAAAACCTAAAATTTAGCATTTTCTTTCCAAACTATTTTGTAAATCTTAAAAAAACAAATAATTTAGTATAGGCTATTGAAGCGTTATTATGCGCCTAATGGTTACGGAGAAAACATAAAAAAACTGTAAATTTAAAATTCCCACATTATTCTTATGGAGAATAAGTAAACTGTTGTAGTTTGCTTGTTTATGATCATATTTTGATCAAATTTGGAAAATGCATTCATTTCATACTAAACTATTACATTTTACAAAAAAGCACCTTTTTACCCTCCCTGTTGCAGCAAGCCTAAGAATTTGTTAATCTAATGTTATTTATATAGGGAATAAAATGTGATATTTTTAAGGAGACATTTTAGTGTAAATCCAATCAGGCAAATGGAAATTCGCTTAGTCTGCAGGTTTGCTGCAGCGGGGGTATTTTTCTTGTATTTTAACACAGTTTCAGAAATATAATTGTCTAATAACAATTTTAAGGGTGTATTTGTAGTAAGGCATACTTTTGCAGTACCGGTACTAGGTAACATGAAAAACAAGTTAGTTAACATTATAGTAAGATAGACATGTCTGTTACAATCATTTTTATATTTAATTTCTAGCATGCATAACATAAGACAAAAAATGTATCTCAAAAGTGGTATCCAGGGCAACAGCTATACATTTTTTTTTTTAGGTGGGAGGGGGCAAGTGCTAAATTTGCCGCCCTTTCACCAAACAACTGTAGATTCTTTTTCTCTCATGTCAATGGCATTTTACATACACGAGACAAACAAACCTTTTTAAGAAAATGAGCCAAGGGTTTAATGATATTTTGATATTACGTTATTAACACATTAGCTACCAACTATAGGCTACTCATCCCTCAGTTACAGAGCAGTGTGACGGTCGGTAGGGAACCTGTTAACACATTAGCTACCAACTATACTCATCCCTCAGTTACAGAAGAGTGTGACAGTCGGTAGGGAACCTGTTAACACATTAGCTACCAACTATACTCATCCCTCAGTTACAGAGGAGTGTGACAGTCGGTAGGGAACCTGTTAACACATTAGCTACCAACTATACTCATCCCTCAGTTACAGAGCAGTGTGACGGTCGGTAGGGAACCTGTTAACACATTAGCTACCAACTATACTCATCCCTCAGTTACAGAGGAGTGTGACGGTCGGTAGGGAACGTGTTAACACATTAGCTACCAACTATACTCATCCCTCAGTTACAGAAGAGTGTGACAGTCGGTAGGGAACCTGTTAACACATTAGCTACCAACTATACTTCCGGTTCGTAATGGCGGTGGACGACGACTCTCCGTGCCGTGTCTGCGATAAATTAGTGAAATCTGATGATCAAGCGGTGTTGTGTGACGCCTTTTGTGATAAGTGGTACCACGCTAGATGTATCAATCTCTCATCTGAAAGATATAAGAAAATCCAGGCCCTAGGGGACGACGTGAAGTGGTTTTGTGACTCATGTGAGGTTAAGCTCGTTAAGCTCCGGGACCGCAAACTCGCCTTTGACGACATAGTGGATCTGGCTATTAATGTAAGTGATATAATGTCCTCGATCATTAAGCTGCAAGCAGAAAACGCTGTTTTGAGAAATAAAATGGATTCTGTAATTAATTTGCATGGAGCAATTAGCCAGTTCCCACGTGATACCATTATAACAAATTGTGACGTAATCAGAGGAAATGACGTATGTCACAAATCTCCTGAAGCTGGGCTTTTGACTTCAGCAGTAAATGAGGAAGAAGAAGGAAACTCAGAAAAAAGACCGAGTACAGAGTCTGTTTTAGCTCACCCAACCAAAACTCATGTTAAAAGTCTCGATAGCCTGCCTACGCTGATAACCAAAAGGAGTGGAAAGTTGTCAAAACAACAACGGACGGTAAATCAAGATGGCGGTGGATCTGATGATGTTTGGACTACTGTTGTTGCTAACAAACATAAGAAGAACAAGACCAACTTAACGAGTGATGATACAATAACTAACAACAGTGTTAACGCATCTCATGTGGACCACAAGCTGAGTTATGCGACAGTAGCTAACTCAAACATTGGTGACAAGGCTATTGCTGCGAATCAAGACAGACAGCAGACAAGGTCGGTGACGAGAAGAATCGCGACTAGGCCTAGATCTACAACCGCAAAACAAGTACTTGTAGGGACTTCTGAAGATGAAACCCTAAAAGGGGCTAAGAAAGCCTGGTTACACCTGGGGAAAGTCAGAAAAGGTACCGAGGTGGCCGATGTTCAAGGCTACGTGGCTAAAGTCTTCCCGGGAGTGGAGTTCCAGATTGAGAAGCTAGAAACAAAAGGTTCGAACGATAGTTTCAAGATAGGGTGTGATTTTATCCACAAGGACAAAGTCTTGGATGGTAAATTGTGGCCCAAGAACATCACTTTAAAACGTTTTTTATTCCGGGAACCAAGGAAAAGTGCTGTGACGTAGGACCTGTCTCTATCCCAGTGCTCATCTCGGACTATATAGCTTTTACAGACAATATACAAAATCCTCTAACCTCAAATGTGTCTAGGCCTAGGAAGTACGATCTGGTCAGGGATAGGGCTCCTGTAGCAAAACCTAGTGATCATCTGGTATTTGGCTATCTTAACATTCAGTGCTTACGTACTAAATTTAATGTCACCTCACTTTTTTGTGAAGAAAATCAATTAGACGTATTCTGTGGCTGTGAACATTGGCTAGGAAACAGTGAGATAGGAGCATTCAGCAAACTGAACTCATTGCAACTTGTAGCAAGTTATTGTCGTGACCTGCACAAAAATGGCGGTGTCTCTATATATGTGAAACAGGACTTAAGCACTAGGTCTAGGCCTATTAATCTTGTGCAGTACTGCAGTGAGCTCGATATTGAGATAGTTGGTATTGAGCTGATCGACTTCTCCCTCATCGTCCTCAGCATATATCGCTCGCCCGATGGACAGGTTCAACAGTTCTTCGATCTGCTCGACCAGTGTCTAGACTACCTTGCTGGTTTCAAGAAAAACATTATCTTGGGCGGAGACTTTAACATAACCCTCAACGCCAATGATGTAGTGGCCAGTGACTTCGCAGATCTACTACGCTCTCATGGACTGTTCATCACGAGTCTTCTGCCTACGCGTGGACCTCGCTGCCTTGATACAGTGGCCACAGATCTTAACACATGGGATTACCAGGTTTGGACAACTGAACCATATGTGGCGGACCATCAAGCGGTTCTCATGAAAGCCAACTCCAGTATGGTGAGTCCTTCTTTGACAGTTCCTGCATGGTTAAATCTTTATACTAGATATTATAGGCTATTAGATGACGATCTTATTCCTAGCTTTAAACATGCTCTTTCACAGGTTCCCTGGGATGATGTGCTATACCATAAGCAAGCCGAATCGGCTTTTGAGGCATTTTTTGAGGCATACATTTCAGTTTTTAATACTTTTTTCCCCGTAAAAGTCAGCAAAAAGGTGAACCCTCAAACCAAAAAAAAACCGCTCAGGCCTAAGGACAAAACTTGGTTTACTGCCGAGTTGAAGCAGATTCAAATGTTTGTGCTAGCATTCAGGGATAGATACATGGCGGCGGAGACTCTCGCCAATAGGGACCATTTCTATACTCTTTACACCAGAGCTAAAAGGTTGTATAGGATTAAAATAGATCAGGCAAAGAAAGCTTCAAATGTGAGGCTAATTGAAAGCTCGCTTAATCCTTGCAAGGCGGTATGGAATTTGGTCAACAACAACCGTGATACTGGTCAAGTGCTGTCACCTGCCTCTAAATGTACTGCTAGTCCCGATGACTTCAACACCCATCTCATCGGTACTGTAGCGGGCATAGTAGGCCTCGCTCCTGTTGATAGCAACGAAATAGTCAAAGACATACAGTCTCCCGATATCAACCTTTCAACCTGGCAACCTCTTACACCAGAGAGCCTTGTCACCATGGTAGGCCATTTTAAGACCTCTCACAGCCCCGACATATATGGAATGACTACTGTCATCCTAAAGCACACTATAAACATTGTTGCCATACCTCTTTGCCAGGTCCTGAACTCCTGCCTAAGTGCCGGAATATTTCCTAGAATCCTAAGGGTGTCTAGAACTGTCCCCATTTACAAAAAAGGTGATCCAGCAAGTGTACAGAGCTATAGACCTATATCTATTATACCAACTTTCGCTAAGGTCTTTGAAACCGCCATTAAATTCCAGCTAGTCTCCTATCTTGAACGCAATAACCTGCTGTCTAATCTGCAACACGGCTTCCGTAAAGACAGATCAACTGTCACTGCCGTCTCTGAGCTCATACATCGCGTTCAACAAGCCTTTGAGGATACCAACACTGTTGCCTTGACATTATGTGACTTGAGCAAGGCATTCGATTGCGTCTCACATGACATTCTCCTTGCTAAATTAAATAAATATGGGCTGTGCGGTGCAGTTTACGACACCTTTGTCACATATTTGGGGAACCGAAAGCAGATCGTCTCAATAGCCGGAGCTAAGTCCCGAGCTCTCAATGTTCCTCACGGGGTGCCTCAGGGGT